GATGTAAGGGGTGCCAGTAGTGTAGTGGTTAACGCGTCTGCGTCAACCACTGCGCGTCTGGGAAACCAGGGGTACGGGGTTCGAGTCCCCGCGGTACCCGCCCTTCCTGCCAGGGTGAGAGACAGGCGACGCAATATAGCCTCAGCAGCCGAGTGCGCCGTAGGGCATCAATGACACACATCAATGACACACGATGTAAGCTGAAAAGCGCGGTTTTCGCGAAAATCGGTTCTTTGACCTGGCATAGTGGGATATAAAACTAGCATATCAAACTGGTACCAATCGCAAGATTTCGTTGAGACCTCTCTGTTAGTTTAGAAACGCCGGAGGTCCACATCGCCCCCCCCCCCTTCCAGCCAGTCCGCATCATGCAAATCGGCGGGGGTTAAGTCAGGAACACGCGAACGGAGTAAAACATAGTCTTGTAAAACAAGGATGCATTGCCTCTCCTTGTTGATTAAAGCTATCTGCTTAGCTGCATATTGATGGATCTGCATATCATTGATGTGTGTACTGATCACTTGCCTGATTACTTGGCTGCACACTTGATGTTTTCAGTCATTGATGCGCCTTTATTGAAACCTCTGACTGGAGTAACTTTATGCCAAATACGAATGAAAGCCGATCAAGTGAAAACTGTGTACTAATTGCAGTGCAAGTTATGCCTGCGGTATGCGTACGTTCTTTATTTCTCCGGCGCAGCTTGATCATGACCCAAGAACTCCACTACAGTTTGTCCCACGATGAACTTCACTACTTTGGTCCCATGATCTGAAAATGATGTTGATGCGGTCGATCATGACAAAACATGTTTGCGAATGTGGGTGTCATAAGCTCCTCATGTAAGAACGGTCGGACATTTTTATCTGGCTTGACCTTTAATAACCTAACCCGCCGACTTAAACAAAAACATTATCGACATCACGGACATCAAAGTAGATAATATTTAGAAGATGACCGTCTAACACATCCCAGCTACCAGCAAGTGAGCCGTTTGGTCAATTTGGCAAGACACCCAACTGATATGGCCTCACAAATAGTACATGGCTGACGACAAAGTCAGACTAAAAACAAATGTCACTAAGAGGATGCCCATGGGCATTTACATATTGAAGAGCACCACAATACGAGTTTTTAAAACAATAGTTATCATGCCGTTCTAGGCCGCTCTTTTTCATACCGTGGGTCTCAAGATGTTTGGTAGTGCGCCTCCTAGCCGTTCCGGGATTAAAACAGCTATGGTTGATCACATATTCCACCTCCAACATGCTTTGCATCCAATAAGGACGGCTGTTATTCACTTTTCGCATGATTATCACCCCGTCACAAACCGTTTCGGCCTTGCAATCAAGATACGGGTCACTTCATACCGGTGACATGTATAAACACACGGTCCGCTCGATCGGAGGAAAACGTCCGAGTTTGCAGCCAATAAGCAGGCGACAGCGGCTGTATTCAATGTCAAGAAACGCACTGGGAATTTTCCTGGCCGGATGGACCGGAAAGGCACGTACAATCTGAGTCCGCATAATACCGGTGGTGGGAATGCCTGGATCTTTTTTCAATACCCGCATGCACTTGGAACTGAGGCCTTCCAACACATATCTTGGGTACAAATCCCGTTTTTAGACTGCTCCGTCTGTGCACCGCCACAGCCAAACCTAACGTTAAGTTGTTTGCAATCTTAGGCCAATGCAGCTATGACGCAAAATTCATGGTAGTGAAGATGACAACTGTGTAGACGCTCAAATGCGGTTAAAAAACGACGACCGGGCCTTCGCACGTCATTCTAGTCAGATGCTGTGTCCAGGGTGCTTAGATAGATAGGCTTGCAGCAGGGGCAAAGGGGTTCCGCTGTAGAAAAGTCTCAAAGCATATGTTGCATCCTACTACGTTGACCGTCAGTCCCCACTTCGAGCCTACTCCGTCGTGGTGGTTATAGGGGGAGGGGGGGGGGGGGGGGGGGGCCCCAAGGACAACGGAACTGTTGACAGTGTCTCAGTATCACGTGCGGGGGACCAATGTCCTGCGGAGGACGAAGCCTGCCGATCTGCATCGATGGCAGGAACGGCTGCTGGACTCCTGAGCGCTGTTACTGGTGAGGCGATTTGGCCTACGCTGATGCTCACGAGTCTATCGAGGAGTGGAAAAGACATGAAATTGATGTAAGGAGAAAGGTCTTTAGCTCCTGGTTTTGGAAATTATCCGTTGAAATATTGCGTTGAGTTAACGACCCGTAACGTATGACATTTTGATCTCAGATATTCATTTTTAAGATCATTCAGCACAATTGACGGCCATGCCCTTTTAAGACTTAAAACCCTCTGGTCTTCGGGCTTAACGCCCCTGCACTTCTGCGGGCAATTTCGTGTAGGCCATTTCAAGGCCATCCAGATACATATCCTCTTAGAGACGTCCCTCGAATACTGCCACCTCATTGGCCATGTAGTGCTCAAAGTCAACGAAAACGTGATCATCGAATTATTCAGATTTGGCTTACGTCAGCGCAATTTCTGCCATCAACGGACATCTGTAGATTCTCAACCAATAGCATTCATTGACTGCAAGTTTCGGATACGAGTCACGTTTTGTGCTGCATAATAAAGAACTTGGGCAGAGGTACGAGTCATGAGGAAAATAAGACTGAAAGGATAACGCCGAGTCCAGCAAACCCAGCGGTATTCGGGTTCACCAAACACTCTCCAGCAAACACGAAGCATTACAAGTGGATCAGCCCGTCCGACACAGTGGTAATTCTGACACAGTCAGGCCGGCCGGGACTCTGACGTCATAAAGACTTGAGTCTTTTAAGCTAAAAGTATACTAATAATCACAAGTTAGCTTATTTCATCATGTATGATGCTTGGTTCAATATATTCTAGTGTGGGACATTTCCTTTACAGGAAGTATGTCGCATGTTTTTGGTACTTTTCACGAATTGTTGGATCAAACGCTTGCAAATTGATCAGCCATACCAGTTTTCACGAAATCCTGCTGACTAGTTCCGGATTTTGATTTGAAGTAGCCACTTCTGCGCGGACGTTCAAATTGGGGTCACTGCTCACCACTGCGAGAGTAATTCATTTAAGTTGCCCACTTCGATCGTGTGTTTTGTTGTAATGTTTGCAGCACACGTATTTGCCAAAACGTTTTTGTATGAATAAGATGAAAGCTTGAAGCACTGTTTAGCCAAAAACATAAGCAAACATGAAGCTATTATCCCGCTATTAGCTATATTCCTAAATTGAAGCTATTAAGCTATATTCCCGAACACAACGAAACGTCCCACTATGACTTTTGATTTCTCTCCTACGGCGTTATCCGCAGTGGCTTTTCGAGGCTCACATTGACTTTGGAAATGTTATTATCACATGGTCCATAGTGACGTACTGGTTCAAACTTCAACCAATGTGTTCTCGACAAAAGGCCCTTGGCACTCGCTGGGCCAATCACAAACAGTTTTTTATTCGCACCACAAGAGGTGCCACGGCGGGTGTCATGACGTAACTGACCTTGGTGGTTGTGACAACTGCAGCTGCAATGACACTGTCCAGCGCTATTATCAGACATAACTGGCCTTGAGATTTTTTTAAAAAAAGACTGCTTTTGAAATATGCCCCACAGGTGGGACCTTCGCGTTAACGATCGGCTGGCAGTGCAGCGGTCTTCCGCCATCTCGTTGCTGCCATCTTAGTCTGCCGGCCGCGATCGGTGTATTGATGCTGACCGGTGTGTGGGTGATGGTGTGCGCGGCTCGATCAAAACCTTGTGGTGGCGTTTGTCTCGCATTTTCGCGCATTGCGTGCGGCGGCGACCGGAAACTAACAAATCCATTGTGCGAGTGCCTCGGCTTTCGCAAGTGTCGAGGGTATCCCGCCACTATTGGGCTGTTATGCCTGGGTAGGGCTATTTTTAAATAAGTATTATGTGTTTTAAGAGTATTAAGCACCGTTGGTTTGCAGCTTAGCTAGTTTTTAATAATGCGACCTGTTCCGGGACTTACTCTAAAATCGTCTCCCCGTTCTTGTCGAGGCTATATGCCAGCTTTATCATGCTGGAAGACGAATGTGCTTGCTTCCGCATTGACCAAACCTGTACCCAGTGAGCAATTATCACCTTGTGCTCTACCAATAGCGAAACAAAATTGGTATGGATAGGTCAAGGGTTGGGCGCTGCATGACCTACAGCAGTCGATGTGCCCTAAAACCCCAAATCATCATCATCATCGGAGAGTTCAAGGGAGTATCCCACATTGGTATGAGGTTTTGAGCTAAGATAGCCATCCTGAAGATGCATCTTGAAGATTCTAGACATTCGGCACAGTTCGTGGCGCTGCCCTTCTTAAGACCAAAGCTCCTCTAGTTTCTGAGCCGCGCGCCCGCGACGATGTGCAGACTTTGTCAGGGAGACCGTTTCAAGGTCACCTCGGCATCCATGACGTCATAATAACGTCATTTAAATCATGCCGTGTCACTAGCCATGCGGTCATCAAGGCCAAATAAAAAAATGTAGTCGTCGAGTCGTTCATATCTGACCTTCGTAAGCACATTTCCAGACACAACGGCAGTCAGTTAGTTGGCTCTGAATCAGCGCCGTGCAAGATATGATGCCGTACCAAACACTGCCGTATTGGGAATCATATTTACTGAACAGAAAAACTGTGCTGTTTAAAGCAGAATTTTCCTTGCATTCTTGTAGTACTACCGAGTATCCTTGGGTACGTTCCGCCGCTTCATGTGCCGAGGAAGGCCACAACGGTTCTGCAGTGCACTTCGAGAAATTACGCGCTTCGTGATGTCCCTACTGCCGTCTCTGGCAGGTCGATGGCGCGTTGCCAACGCTTCGTCGGCTATCCGCAATACGCTGGCAATCCATCCGCATTACAGCCGCTGTCACTGGGATGAGCATCGGCCAGCCAGGACATCTTCCAATACCACATAACTTCTGCCAAAGACTCCGCATGCTTTTCACTTTATTAAAAAAGAAGCATCCATGCACATCTACAGCAGCCTCAGCTCCCAGCACCCTAGTGCGGGACTCAACACCGCCCCCGAGTGTCTGGAAACAACCAGACACCGATGAACAACACCGCCGTACAACAACGCCTTGCGCATCTGGAAAACGTGGACACGAAGGCACGGTCGCTCACTGAAGCACGAGTCTCCAAATGGGGGTTGGACAGTTTCGGAAAAATTTTGTACTGATAATGAGCGAGACATTGATAACGATGAGACCTGAGTATTACGTAAGTCAACGATTCATTCAAAGTGCAAAAGGAGCCAACGCATCGGAAATAAATCCTTTCACTCGTCCCTGATCAGCGCAGACAGTACACGGTTGCGTGGGGGGGGGGGGGGACACAGACCACCTCCTGCATTCGCAGTGCGTCGTCAACAGCCACCGGCCCTGCCAGCCAGCCTCAGCGACCGTCTCCCACTGGTGCCGGTCCCGCCTCGTCCGCCTGTCGTCCCTCCTCGGACTGGGCGTGACCGAGAGCCGTGCCTACTGCAAAGAACCGCTGGCGTCTCCTCGCACGAGGCCGACTTCTTAGTCCGCCTAGCCGCACGCGTGCTCTTCTCAGGGTCGCTTATTTTATGCGGGGTCTTAGTATTTTCGCGCGATGAGACCTTGGCACGTTTGTTCACGAGGTTCTTGGCTCGATCCGAATACTCAGGCTCCTCGGACTTCGGCACCATTGACGAAGTCCTTTTACGCGAGTTGCTAGCCGCCTTCGTCCTTCTGCCCGCTGCTGTTTTGGCACCTCTTTCCACGAGGGCATCCTCATTGTTTTCCTCCCCTCGCTTCTTGGACTTCGGAGCCTTGGACGAAGCCCTTTTCTTCGGCGAATGGCGAGCTTTACCATCTGACAAAATTGGCAGACAATCCAGACGATTATTCACGCAACAAATCCAAACTTATCATAAGCAAAAGGCTTTAAACCACTTCGCGCACGCAGTGAAGTGTGCCAAACAGCCTGTCACGCGGCACTATAGACAGCAAGCAATCCAAATGAAGACGTTGCACACAGCGCCCATGGTTTCGCTATAGCAACAAGGGCCACTATGGTAAGCCTCCTGCAGTTTTCCTGGGTATCCAGTGAGTGCGCACGGCAGCTGGTCCCCTGCCGTGCCGCTGCTCAGAGGAAGCGAGCGCCTGACGAGGCCGGTTCGCACCGCTGTAGCCTTTAGGGGCGGGCGCAACAGAGGCTGGCGCCCGGAGTCGAGCCGGACGTGATGCGCGCAACAACTTTAGCCCAGGTGTGCTTGCAGCTAGAAGTTGGGGTCACTTGTGATACTGTGTCTATATTGACATATTTCATGAATACCCACCGGTAGAGGGCACACGCAATAAATAATAACGAAAAAACGGATGCAAGGCAGTACCTTTAGGCGCTCGTGGCCCAGGGCTGCCTGCGAACCATATCGTCCTGCCGTTATTATCCACCAGATTCTTCATGCCGGGCTGGTAGTAGCACTGCAGCCAGGCCTGAAACAAAATTAGCGCGCTTCGAAAATCTCCCGACGTCAGGTTTGTTGGTGTAAGCGTGCCATTTTCCGAGCGGGTTCGAACCTCAATGATGCCATGTGCCTTCAGCGCCAATATGGACGCTTTAGTCGCTTGTGCTCCAGAAGGGGGGGGGGGGGGAGGGAGCGGCGGCGCGCATCGAGTTTCTTTTTTTACAGAAAAAAGCGACGTGTGTTCGTGGGTGTGCTGGCGCGCCCGTAGCAATTCTTGGTGTCAAGCTCGCCTCAAAGCATCTCTCCACCATTCCGAACGCCAACCAATGCTTCCCAAGGAAGCAAGGCCCCACAGAACTCTGCACCCTCTCACCTCGAATGCGTCAACCTCATCCCCTTCTTCCTTCTTGATGGCCGGCTGCGGTTCCAGCGCCTCCAGCTGCACGTCGTAGCGTTTACCGCCGCCCATGGTGACCACCTCGGTGGCCAGCTGGTGGCACATGTGCAGCACGTCCGTCTGACCCACCTTCAGCTCTAGCGGCAGCGGCGCCAGCACGTCCCGCGCGCTCTCAAACGGGCGTACAGACAGCCTGGTCAAACAGACAGGTGGGTCACAGCGGCGGAACATAGGCATCCGACTGGTGTGAGCAAATATGGCGACACATGTTAACATTTTAGCCCAATCGGGCTACTTTCTATCCTTTTCTTACTTCGAACACCTGTTTTTCTCATTTCGGCGTGAACCGGTGGGGTACATTCAGGCTTGGCCTCTCCGAAAATACATTATGAAAATGCCTCTGCATGTTTCAACACCTGGTCTTCACCTGGCACCTGAAGCATTCATTCTTCGCCGTACGTTTCGCCACTCGGTAGCCAACACCGCATTGTCTGTACACCATTTGTCTTAATTCTGCATTTCAGGAACAGACAGTAGCTACGCAACAAAATAACTCCATTAGTTTTGGCGGGATTAAGTCGTATAAAAACCTCAAATCATGTTCTGCTAGCCTTTTTGCAAGAGCTTCTGTAGCTGGTTTGAGCTACGACCAGACTTGCGCCAGGCTCCTAAGATTTCCTCCCGGTATACGTTCCTAGTTCTAGAAGCAAGAATAACTCAGTACTAGTTTGGAATGAAATCGAAGGCCTAAGCAAAGCCAGGATCCAACACTGAATTTTGTTGAGGGAACCAGCGGGAACCAGGATCCAATACCGACCACTTCAATTGTTCTGCAGGAAACAGCAGGAACCAAGATCCAGCCTGACACTAAACCAGGGATCTTCCAAGAACCAAGATCCGACTTGTAATATGCACAAGAATCAAAACGAAGTAAGGCCCAGTCTGCAATTATGCCCAGATATCCAGCAAAAACCAAGGTCCAGCACGGAATACGGCCCGACGGTGTGTATCTGGCAAGAACCCAAATACAGCCTGGAATGATATTAAAGACATAAGAGCCATGATCCACTTTACGCTCAGCGAAGACAGCAAAAACCAGGATCTCACCAAAAATTCCTGCCAGGAACCAGTGTGCACCGCCACCTGTATCTATATTTCGCGCGTGGCACGAGTAAATATTACAGAACATATGCAGGCTATCTTATATTTCAGCTAGCATGCCTTCCATCGCAGGTGATAATCAAAAGATAACCCATGCTGGCGGTTGCGAATGAGCCAACGAGTCCGTGACAAACCAATCGTAACCAGGAACCAGACCCTAGTCTGTGTGAAGGAACTAGGATCCTTGATTTGTTTGTGAAAAAGCAATGGAAATCAGGAATGAGTGACTGGAGTTTGCAACACGGTCATTTGAATCAAGCAGCCCGGAGATTATAGTTACCAAACAGCCAGCTGAAATCAGGATCCAAGATCTTGCGTCCATTACGTAAATGTGGAAACTAGGCATACGTCTGGTTGCACACAACCTCCAGAACTGATTACGACTAACTGGTTGTAAAGCGCCCAGAGCTGGTATCGTCATCCCAGCTCGAAAGTTATATAAGAGATGTTGCGGATGCCGAGGCATGTAGGGAGCAGGATATTGCTGGCATCACGGCGTTGCTGAGACTACATGGCGTCGCCTGTCCCTCGCCCTGGGCAATAAAGGGGCGGGAGTAACGCAGGGAATCGAACCACGTCCCTCTAGTTTCCCAAACGCGCAGCTCGCCCGATGCACTACCACCATTACCTTGCCGAGACATGAGCGGGGAACGTCTTTATCTTGATCGATGTAAACAACAATGCTCGTGCTCATGCTCAAACGAGCTCATGCGTTATAACAAATTACGGCATTTTAGAAATGATGTCAGCCAGCTCTCGTTCTAAACATGCTGGCTCAATGCTCAGTGCTCCATGCCAAGACTAAGGGATTAGCATGCAACTTATCTCACTTTCCTACATTGGCCTATAACTTGTGCAATCCTCGGAGTTTTACTAAGTTCCGCAATTTTCGTCCCTAGGACTTTCTATCAGCCGCGTCTAACTACTAAAAACGAGCTGTCAGAAGGTGCTACAGCCAGTTGCTGCCAACCTTACTACCAGGCCGCCACCTCACGTTGCCCACCTGTGCAGGACCTCAGCGCGCAGGTAGTTGCCGACCCCGTTGAAGTAGCGCTGATCCAGCATGGCCTCGCATATAGGCTTGTTGAAGACGGAGACGGCCAGATTGTCGAGCACGTTGGCACGGAAGAGGTCGGCCTCCTGCAGGATGCACGGGCCGCGGTCCTTCGACCACTCGGGACTCGCTACCCACCGGCCGAAGCCGCGCATGTCCACGAAGCTCAGCGTGTAGGACGGCTCGCCGGCCGTGCGGAAGCTGAAGCAGCAGTCGCAGTCGATCTCTGCTCCGATACCGACCCTCGGGCGGTGCGAGGCGCCATCAGTGATCAGACTCATCTTCTGAGACGAACTAAGCACAATACTATTACCTGTGCGTTGGTGAAACGAAACAAACAGCGTTGTTTCTATCGGGGAAACCCTTTGATAAAACGTGCACCCGTGCCCACATAACACCCCCACTGCACTTTTTTAAGGTCGCGTTTAAGGATTCCGTCCCTCGTAAGCTACGTTACACATGAATAAAAAGGGGGGGAAGAGCATGACCGAAACGTAACCAGGGGCGATGGGCGTTTTGGATAACATAACGCTACACTAAGGTGTGATTGCATCTCATGTTAAAATACTTTATATTGCACATCTTAAAAAAAAACGGTTTACGGACGACAGCGCATGACGCTCAGATTTAATCTAACTTTCAAATAGGTGTAGAAGGACCCTACGCCAGCATTCCACGAGGTCCAAGCCTTAATGTTACCCGAGGTCACTGATTTAAGTTGACTTCAGTTAACTACTTCGGGCCATGGGCCAACTCGATGGTATTTTGGGACACTGATTTCGAATTTGACTCCTATTACATATCATTCTCACCCATTCAGTTTTCTATCACAACCACATGACGTGGTGTTAACTTTAACGCCATGATGTGGCGTTAACTTCACGCCGCCACAAACTAGTCATGCGTTGTTATCTAATCTGACCTGTTAATTAAAACGAAATTATGTTCAATGGCTGCATTAGATGCGCAAAGCTTCAATGAGTCTTGCACATCTTATTGCCTAGTGGTCATCCACAGAGAATGTTTCGTGATATTTGGAAACAATACCTGCCGCAGGACACTACATGCTAACCTCGAAGCTTTAAGCTGGATATCGGTAAATCCTGCCACGGTAAACAACACACTCTCCTTTGCCCCGTGAATCTTACTTACGGGGCGATGTCACACCGCTCCCGGTAAGACGATGGGGAATGTCAGGATAAGTGTTGCCCGTTCGCACCGCGTGTGGCACTTTCGGTCAAACGCGAGACAAAATTCTGGTTGTGCCAGCTGAGTGACCCATTCCGTCAATTTGGAATCTCTGCAAGAATGATTTGGCCTGCAATGTCGGTGACCAGAAAACGTTAGACTGCAAATGCCACTCATGATGTAAATTGAGACCAGACAAAGTGTAACTTGACAAAACATTTACCTTCCGGGAGTTTTGAGCACTTCTCGTGGTCGGCTGGAATCAATGACCAAAGTGACCTCGGGTGACTCTTTTGACCTCGTTTTATCTCCAAGGTATGTTGGACGCGGATTCCGCTTTGAAAACCTATTTCGGACAATTTCCACTCATCTGGCTAACGTTACTCCACTTCTCAGGCCCCATTTATATGACATGAGTATGTGACACACGTCTACATGAATGTCAGTTTTAATCATGCTGAAAATATCTCCGAACTACGATCATTCAGGTTGATGACGGGTCATTGCGCATGATGGGGCAATCTGATGTTTTGCTTCAACTTACCACACTTTGGCATGCTTGGGTGTGTCAGCAGTCTTCGTGAATTTGAAGCACCCAGTCATTCCAAAATTGAAGCGAATTGTCCATTCCTCCGGTTTGTAGGATGCATTTGGGCATTTCGATTTAAGTGGCTTCACTGTCAACATAAGCTCTTTCCCTCGAGACCATGACGTCAGAGTGTAACACGCGTTGTCACCGAGGCGTTTGTTGAAATCCACCAGCCTTGGCTCTCTGTTGGCGGGCAGCCGCTCCACAATTTTGCCGATGAATGATTTTGAATCACTCACTCTCTTGATAAACAGCGAAGATAGATGGAGCTCCGGACCTTCAGGCATGACTGCGTCTGTCTGGACCACCCTGGAACATGAAAACGCTTGGTAGGTTCTCATGGCAACCATAATTGAAAAAATACTCAAAATAATAGCATAACTTAAACATTTTTTCAACGACCAGTCCTTGCGGGTGCTAAGTGAAGGAGCTGACACACTGAACACGCACGCAAAGACACCTTGCGTTGAGTGGACGATATTAGTGTGCATTATTTTTGGATGCCTTTAACATCATAACAGGTTTTTCTGACTGATCCGACCCCTGGCTGCCGGGATACCTGACAGGAACCGGGTGTGATGTGATGAGTACCAGGGACGCATGCGGGTTGTCGGAAACAAACTCCATGTTGGCGACCGCCCTCCCCCGCCATGGCGTGTAATGGAACCTGATAAAAATGCCGGCATGGCGTTTACTGATTTTTTGTCATAAAATAAATGCGTCGAGGCTATTGAGGCGCATGTAGCACTATAATTAATCTAGAAGACTCCTTTCAGGCATTTCTCTGAAACCAGCGTACGACCTGCTTACTAAGACAAAATCAGCGATTGTCCAGCTGTCATATCTTGTTCTCCAAGTGTCCACTGCAAGGTCAGTGTCGTCAGACATTCTTAGGAGTCCAAGGAAACGCCCATGCTTCCAATGCCAGAGCCGGATTAATGTTCGCCTAATTTCGCCACTACTATTGCCAGCCCTGCTGTAATGAATCTGTCTTGTTTCCCCAGCGTACCTCGCGAGAACAGTGGGCGTGCTCTTTTGCCGTAGCAGCGGGCTTCGCTTAAAAATGACTAAATTTCGCGACTTCTTATTACACCCGTTATAAATTATTCTGGGCTGGATATGTGCGGTCTCCCTGACATTCCTAACAGCAAGAATTTAAGCAATGCGTTCAATCGCCACTGGCGCTCACTTTTTTCGCCACAACGAATGAATAACTTACTTAATAGGTTGCGTAGCCTGAGTAGGTTACTGCTGCCGACCGCAGGCGCGCGTGCGCGGTTCGTCGCTCTTACTTAAGACGCTCGCCGACGGCGACCGAGCTATCAGCCGGCGACATTTTGACGACGCAAAAAATGTGCAATGGCAATCTTATAGCTGAATTAATCCTTGGGCGGGATAGCGCACAGAGAGACGAATAAGTACATGGTAAACGCGGAAAATAGGTCGGCGCATGCAGCGATGTACATTTCGCGGCGACCCTGGCTACAGATTAAGCGACAGCCTGTTGCATTTGATACCGTTTTTTCGAGATGCGGATACTCCTGCCGTGCCTTGGAATCGCTGGCGCCATGAAAAGTCACGCAAATTCGCGTTGATCCCATGACTTGCGGACGGTACGTTGGTCGGCGCTCCGAAACTAGAATTGCGCATCCACCCTTACTGGCTGCCAAGCGCGGTATGAAACGTCCGCCAGCTGTGGGTGCCGAGGTATGGCATGGAACGTCCGCCAGCTCTGGTTACCGAGGTATGGCATGGAACGTCCGCCAGCTGTGGGTGCCGAGGCATGGCATGAAACGCGAAACCCAGTCAGCACGGGGAAACCGTCCTAACCGCTTCCTTGCACGGGACATGGGACCCGAGCGACGTGAATCTGCCGCCACGCGTTTTCCTTTTTATTACCCAGCACTATGTGCCAATGGTCGCTCCGACCTGAGGTTACCGACATGTGGGAAGGGCTGCGAACGGCTGCTTGGCTGTTTCGCGCCGCTCGCATTCCACCGCTACCAGTACAAAACCAATGGACGAAAGGAGCACCTTGCTTCAAGTGCCACGCGCCAGCCGCCAGCCGCGTGCCCAAGAAACTCGGCACCGCGCGGTATTTCATGCGCACGTGCATCATATCCGAATGATGCCATTTGCCGACTCGCCGTGCGGCCCGAGCACGACGAAGAATGGGACAGACGGGACAGATACACGCCAAACCAAACAATATATGGACAAAATTGACCCACCCCTTCGCTGGACAACTGTTGATCTGGTTTGGGGGTGCGCTTACTATTACCTGAACAGTTCTCAGTCAGCTAATTGCTATTATTTGTCAGATTTACCTAAACACGACCGGAAACATGACTCCTCAACCTCTCGTCCTGTGTTGATAGCATATTCCGTCTAGCTTAATTACCACGCCTCGTTTGGTTTACAATAGTAATTTCACAAACTGACAGGACAGCTTAAGTAAACCTTGATTCAATAACTCACAGCGTAAGAAGCGGAGAAACATATAGCGAAGCGACGAGCGATATTCCATCATATTCCGCCTGGCACCATGGATGAATGGGCAGCGGAACTCCGACTAAAATAGAGTAATTTTGCTGACCACCCGTCACACCGCGTGCTCCGGGAACGTTAACACGGACAACGAGGCCTGATTATTGTTCCTGAATGACGCCGTAGATGGATGGAGATTGCACCAATGAAAACTTGAGTTGAACGGTTCCATAGAGTACACAGGTGCCAATCTTGGTCTTACGGCCAAGCCGATGGGGCACCAAGCCGCCATGATACGGAAATACTTTATGTAATCATCCGAGGATTACAACTGCAAACGTTACATGACCGAATTCCTAGTCCCGTGTTCAGCTTTCATATCAAGCTCCCAAATTCCTCACTGCGGTTGCGGTTGCCGCTAGGTTTCGTTGCGCACTCCTGACCCTTAAGAAATCCGCTCTGATCGTCACTGCCCACGCCGATTCAGCGTTGGCAGCAACAGCATCCATAGATGACCGTAGTCGCTCCCCAACGTCGCCGCGAAGCATCTGTCGCTCTCCGCAGCCTCTTCAAAGCGCATTCCGGCGCATCCCTTGAAGTTAGGTACTACAGGAACGGAACCTACTTTCAAGGTAGGCAACCCGAAACAAGCCCAGGGCGGCTTACTTCAAGTATTCGGCAGCGGCGACTCAACGTAGATCGGTGGTATTCGGCTACATGGGAAAATACACGGAACGACAACTGGGTCGTAAATCCGGGCAATGAAGCGGCGCATGTGGTGATGTAATGATCCAGATGATAGTTTCGGCGACAGCGTGGTGCGTTCGCCACCGCTTTTCGAAATGCCTACAATCCCGACAAACAAATGTTCGCCACACAAATCGTGCAGTGCGTTGGTCAGCGCTTTGAAGTTAGATTGAGTCACCACCGGCTTTAGCTGCCGAGACGTAGCATTAAACGTGGAAAACCAGCTGTCGAAAACGGGCAAATCTAGATGGACAGCTCGCGTGCGCGTGATGTCCGGTCCGTGCAATCGCGCACCTGGCCTCACCTGGCGCGTGACGCCAGGTGTAGTGACGGCAAGCTAGGGCAAATGTGGTCAGTTCCTTTCCAGCAAATCACAGATTTCACATTCAAAAGCTTAGACCGAATCACACATGGCAAATCCGACCTGGCTTATCAAAGATGACCTGGCGTAGCCGAGGCGATAGTACCGGAACGTAAGTAATGCGCTGCGGAGTGGCATAGATACAAGAAGCCTGAGACGCTCTTACGATTTTCCTAAGACAAATAAGCGTTATTCAGTGTTGATGATGATTTGGGGATTTAGGGCGCATCGACTGTTATTCAGTGTTAAATCTCTTTGACATCTGGGGGGAAAATGACACCTTTTCATTGTTTTCATTGTCATCCTCACACTATTTGTTCCATCTTTTCCACCAAAAAACAGATCAATAAACATTTTTCTAAAGGCACTATTGACTGCCATTCAGAGCTTAGCAAAGGATTTGAGCTATAGGCTAAAGTTCCCACATTTCCTATGGGCAATGTTTGCATCATGTGGTGCATTCAATGGCTACGATCTGATTTCACGTTTCAGGCGATCCAACAGAAGAACCAGGGCCCATACTTCATAATATTCCGCATCCTGCAAAATGTCATCTACAGGAAATGGGGGAGACGCTGCCTACTCCCTGGACCATCATGCTGTGCATCCTACAGGTCTCATGCGGTCTTTGTTTGACCTGACCTGACCTTGATCTGTGCACCATAATATAATCCTTAGGCCCAATGCATCTTCTTTTAGTTCATGACGAATTTAAATGAGCCACATGCCTACAGAACATGTATTGTAGGCTCACATAGAAAAACATGCTAAAAATGAACAATATTTGATGACAACAAGGCAGCAAGCATCAACAAACTCTATCAGCATGGAATGAGGCTGGAAGCTGCAATCTACATGCTAATAGCATATCCAACATCGCTGAAGTGTTCTATCACATCACACGGTCATGGGCCATGGAGATACAAACACACCACAAGGTAATGACGGGGGTATTTATTATTTGGAGACAATTGCAACCAGTCCAAATGCAGTATAACTTAAAATGTCACTGATCAGACGCGCTGGTGTAGTTCTAACGTGCCTTGATCTGTCCACAACCCACCGATCCACAGCCACGCTCAAAGCAAGGCGATATACAAAATAAACGACTCGGGATCGTGACACGAGCGCCAGATTAGCCCCCCCCCCCCCCCCCCCCGATAGTTTCATCCAACCCGACAGCGAATGTCGATTGCCACCCTAGACGCGGCACCGACTTACGCCTGTCAGCGAGACCGGATGAAGTTCTTAGGCGTATGAAACGATACCTCGGAGTTTGGTCATGTAGTTCAGTAAAACTGAGTCAAAATAATCGTGGTTTTATACGTACATTTACTTACCCCCTAACACCATGCATTTTTTGTGGTTTCCGGCCGCATTTCTTCAGATGAGAAGGGGCCCGTTTTAAAGCTGCTCTTTGTGGCTTATATGACTGAACTGAAGCCAACTACAGGCTAACTAACAACATTTTATCGAAATGATTAATCACGTTGCATAGAAACCGTTGAAGTATTGTTTTTGCCCTAACTGTAATGGGAGGATGCATCTTTTACTATTCGTCGCTGCTGCGTTCAAGTGTCACCCAGACCTCCATCCTAGATTTTTATCGGCTATCTAACAGTCATTTGTAAAAAAACAAACTATGGATCAAAGAAAGTGCGTTACTGTTTTCTCTACGTCTTTGAAATGTCAAGTTGTTCCACGCGAGTTTTGGGGCACTACAATGACTTGTGACAATGACAAGTGGATTCTGACAAAATTTTGATTTAGCAGCACTGGATGCGACCTGAAAAAACGCGGGGCGCACGTTGAACGGACGTACAGATTTGTGTGGGGTCCTGCATAGGTGAAAGGTATAGTGTTTGATTTATGCAATGGCACATTGGTGGAACAACCATCAAAATGTGCCCATCCATGGTGCCCTTGGTTAAATTTTCTGAGACCTGGCGTTGAGGAATGCATATCATTTAGGTGAATAGTTTACTTAAACGACGCCTCCGGGCCGCTTGTACACAGTCAGGTCGGGCCCCCAGCCTCAAAGACCATAGTGCACCATGCACACCTACGAATACGGGTGGGACGAATACTGAGAGTAGGTCAGTGCTGGGCTGTGAGCTGTGTGTGGATGCCATTTTTTCAACCGACCTCAATATAATAGGCATGTAGTATTCTATGCAGCGGTGGAGGCTCCCCTAACTTGGTTTCGGACTGTGCACCCAATCTTGTACAAGAGCATGCGGCATGGAAAATCCATCTGTGAACATATTTTGTGGGAACATTTGGTTATTTCTCACTAAGCGGTCCTCCCCAACATGTTTCAAAATTATGTCCGTCATATGTACATCAGTTTTTTGTGTAGCCAGTGAGTATCAGTATGTTCCAGTATGACCGGAACATACGTCAGATTTGAATATTACCATCGCGGAAAGCATTCGGAATACAATTGGCTTTTTGGACCATCAGTCGATGGTTTAGATAGATCCTTTGCAAGCAGCGTCCACCGAAAGCCCAGTGACGCCGGCAAATGCCTAATTGGTGGAGGTAGACGTCCCGACAGGCACCGACCCAATGTGACACGGGACAACATCCATCGTGCCATTCAATACTGCCCGCCATGGCCCCTCGTACACAGGAGCTTATGCGAGTCCAGCCAATCCCTGCCGCCGATTATGACGAGCGTACTGTGGAGGATCGCATCAACCGGCCCACGTCACAGTCTGTAGCACTGAAAAACAACAAACCAAAACAGATCACCAGAACACGCATCAAACGTCCTTAAAAAAGACAACGATGCCCTTGGCTTCAAAGCTAGTGAGAAAAACTGCACAACGTCGTCCATCACAACTGCCAAAACAAAAGATCCAATTGATATCTTCCAATATAGAAGTTATTACCAGTCCAACTACAACCCCTCTGGTCATGAAAGATCAATTTTCCCGTGATACGGCTCCATTTAAAGAAAACGACGTCACATATCATCTTCACTTTGACCACATGCGCGTAAAACCCTTAATCTGTATGGACGTGTTAGGATGTCCTAATGGTCCCAATTTTATCACGTCCATTAGGACGTGTAGCACCGGATCGTCGAGTGTTTTTTCTTTATGTCGCTGATGAATGCCGTTGCCTGTCACAGATTGGCGTATGTGGTCCACGAATATGTAGGCCCGTATTGCGATACACGTGTGGTAGGATTGCATTATGTCTGCATTGCAAAGACTGATAAGCCTACGCGTGGAATCTGTGTTAAACCTGTACCGTGATAACTTGACTGTTGCAAATATGTCATTATATCAACTCTGTCCAAAACAGTCACTGCAAAAAGCCGAATGCAGAACGGAACGTTGGCTATGGTTGATTCTTTATGGTTGGCAATGTCATACAACATAACAACCTACACCTTCTTTTTGCAAGAGCTTTGGTAACATTTTAAACGAAAGATTGCAATAAGCGTACTTAAGCCCGTGCATAAACGTCCCGTGCAGTGGCTCGAATCTCATTCAAAGATCATAAGAGATGACATCTGCGTCAGATCGTATATCTTAGATATCAGATACAACCATCAGATCTGATATCTCCATCAGTCATCAGAAAGATAGCCATCTGATCGATCCAAAAAACTTCCAAGAAGATCATCCATGCTGAGTCCACCGTCTTTTTTAATGTATGCATGATATACCCATAACATCGGGCTAGAGGACTCAACAGGTTGGTTAACTCATGTGAACCCATATGGAATGGAGGGAAATGATTACATTGGGTAGTGTTTTGTAAGACGAAGGTCGTGGGCACAGGCGGGTATGGATGGGAGGATGTCGGGCTTTGCGCCGTTTGCGCCGCTTTAGTTATAATCGGTCCCACTCATACATAGCATGGTAGACATGCTCTTCAGCCATGATAAACGTAAACAAATAAGTCTTCCGGCGTACTTTACTGAAACTGTCCATTACTTGAACTCAAGTTCTGGAAAATTCAAACGGCTGAGTAGCGCGTGAGCACAGCTGATTAGGAATGGGCAGCGGGTTGGACGTGGGCACACCGTGGGTGACGAGGCGAAATCGGCCATGGACATTATAACCCGTGAAAGTCCACAGTACACACTACTCTGGCTGTTGCTACTTTGGTCAAACTACTTTATTTGTGCTCTAAGGGCGCGTCGACTATGCTGGTCATTTTGGTGCCCTCAATGAGCTATCAGACCATGCATTTGGTCAAGTCACGAGTATCCTTCAGTCACGTCGCTCTCACCAAACTAAAATTGAGATAAAAATCAAGTGCCTTCATGCACGAATGCAGCTTCACATATATGGAGTCTGTCGACAGTGATCCAGGACGTCTGCGAATCCCACACATCGACGTAAGATAACAATGCTACGAGGAGTTTTACATCGCTGCAGGGAGCTTATCCAGCCAGCTGCGCAGGGGCCGCTGTCCAAAAGTACTGCACCTCACTGCACCGTTTTCACGGAGAGCTACTACTACGTCCTCGAGCGTGAGCCGTTCATCGTACCCATCACACACTGAGGCGCGCTGGCGCCCGGAAGAAACGAACGGTTTGTGTACGCCTGGCCCAGTCGCAGTCTACCTAGACCTCCCACCTGCTCTTGCGGTGTGAAGCGTCCCACTCGTCAGGCGTTTAAATTCCTTCCAGGGGCTGCTGGTGGCATTCCGCCTCCTCCGCCGCGTTTTTGCACACCTTCCGTAACAGCCTTCTGCGGGTCGCGGGCTGGCGGATCAATAAAAAGTGGACGGCACTGACTGCTAGCCACCAGCGCAGCCTCGTCTGCACGTTCGTTCACAGAAATTCCAGCATGGCTGAGAATCCACATGAATTTAACAAAAAGCCCTAGTCGCTCGCAAGCCGAAAGCCGCCCCACATTGAGCAGACACGTGGGAATAACCGCTTGACTCGGAGGTCGGGTCTAGAGATAAAAGTGAGCCCGTCGAATCACTGAGGATAAAAACGTGCTTCGCGATATCACTAAACCTGCGGCGCTGCAAGAATGGCGGTGAACTCAGTCGAAAACATAGCCATTCGAGATGGTGGCCACGGCAACTATCACCTAAGACAAGAGCACATCCAGTTCCAGCTGATCCCATAAAACCATCCGTAAAAATCTTCAAGAGATCCGTCCTTTAAGGAGATTCCTTCCGCTGCATGCTGCTCTAACCTCACCCGGGATGAGGATCCTCTCTGGTATAAGCGTAGGGTCTGATCACACACTGGACATGAAATCACATCTTTTAAGGGCGGCTGCTGCTGATCTGATGGCATCATCGCGATCTCGTATATCTGGATGCCTGCCTCCTGCATCCCGCCTCTGATGTGTAGAAGCATCGGCTTCGAATAGCCTTTTCGCCCCCTCCGAAAGAAGACGAGCAGGCGCGAGAACAAACCATACACCAGGCGAGCCTGGAACTTCGCTTCTTTGACAGCGTAGTCAATGCAACTCTCGCCCCGGAGCCAGGGGTGGCTCTTTAGCTTCCACCAGCGAAAAGAAAAGGCTGTCTGAAACACTTAAGCTCGCTACAGACACAGGAATGGTGAAGAGTCTAAACGTTTTCCTTTTGGTTTGGGGCGCTGTCATATACAATGCAAGCATAACCG